AAAAAAAAGGACTAAGAAAAGACTTTCTCCTGCATTTCAGGCACTAAGTAAAATGTTTATGTCCGTAGTCAACAGCCAATAATCAATGCAGTTGCCTGTGAGGGAGCTACCTCCAAGTAGGGAAAGACAGCATGGTTTTGCCACATACATGGGAACCGATATGAACAGCAACATTTCTTTCCCTAAAATGCTGAAAACTGTACAAAATAATTTCTTCTGGTGCAACAAGGTTTAATGGGATTCAGAAAATCTACTGTTCTGGGTAACAATGCCAAAAAAAAATGGTTCTTTGTGGCTTATGTGAAATATATATTTTCAGTGGAGTTTTATTAGTCCTTATTGGCCATATAATAGAGCGTGAGACCTAAAATCAGCAGTGCCAGTCCTCTCTGAGTAGCAAAAGAGGGGAGTAAGCTGCAGCAACTCTCCCATCACAAGACAGGACCATCTGTAACTGCCGTGCAGTTGACATATTCCTCTAGCACACAGCCAGCTCTTACTGCAACATCCTTTTTTGTAATGTTATAGACAGGACAGTGCTGTTAAGGGTAACATACAGACCTACAATTCCCAGAGCAGGAGGGATAATGTGTCCAAATGGGAAGGATATTTGTAGGTACCCAAAATAAACCCATTTCCATTTTGAAAGTATTGTTCAAAAACATATTTCTGAAACAGTTTTTGTCCTATAAGACAGAAACTATTCATTTTTATCTATTTTTTATTATTTATTTATTTATTGCAATATTTTGGAGAATCAGAGCCTTCACATCTTTTACCTGCTTCTGCTAGAGCTGTAGAGCTGTGCAGCTTTGGTGCCTTTGGTATTTGATGCCTGTGTTTGAGAAGCAAAACACAGAACATAAGAAAACCTCTATTCAGTTCTGGCACTTCCATGGATGTGGTGTGACTTTCATTCATTCCATCTCTTACTTCAGTGGTACTTCCATTCAACTGCTGTTGAATTAAACTATTGTTGAATTGAAGTGTTTTGTCAAGCCCCAATCAAAAAGGTATTTATGTGTGCACTAAACTCTGGGTGTGGGAACATTATGCATAGATTTAAGCCCAAATCTAGTTTTCTTGCTGAATTTAACATGAGTGTTTAAGTTGTAATGATGCTAGTGCCTTAAGAGTTTCATGTGAGAGATTGCATACTGTCTTTGCTTGCATAGCTAAGTGAAAAACTTAGACTAAGCCTTTCAGGCTTCTCTTACTTTCATGAGATATCTGACTACATTGTGGTGCCTCTGCATTGTTTAGTCCCATGTATATAACAGATAGTTTTAGAAATGCTTAACTACATCAAGGTCCTTCAACATTTAAATAACTACAGGGAAAAAAAAAAAAAAAAAAAAAACAAAAAAAAAAAACATTGCTAGGCTGCAATTGGCCGTTCTGTTATTTCCTATGACAGGATGAGTAGTCCAGATTTTAATTTGTGAATTTAAAATTCAGATTTGCACAAATGCTCTTGCCTTTGAAATTTTTGTGCCTATGCTTCCCCAAATACTCAAATGAGGTAGAAAACAAACACTGGAGTGCACTGATCCATGTTAATGTGATTCACTAGACATACAAAAAATATAGTATGATTTATAAGCAATGCAGAAGTTCTCATGGCATCTTTTCATGTTGTGAGTATTCTCCAGGCTGGAAAATATAAAGAGGTTGTGTTGTTTGCAGCCAAGTCCACATAAAACCAGCTGCAGAGTCTTCAGAGGAACCCAGAACTGCACTCCAGCACTTATTTTTTTTATTAATTAGGGAATATTCTTTCATTAGTGGTAAACCTAGAAGCCCAGTACGTTCAGAAAGATCCTGCGTGGAAGGCTGGTGAAAACGGAAGCCACTGTATCTGCATGCCAATAAGGGGAGAGAGAAAGTCTCTTAATGAAATTGGATTGATCAAGTAAATGGTTGGAAAGCTGTGGGACCTTTGAGGTTTGGAAGGCATGTACTTTCTTATGTGGTACAAAATGAAGCAGCAACCTGATTAGTAAGTTCCTCTAACCTATTTTTATTTAAAATTCAGGCAGAACAGAAATGGAATGCAGGAGCTAAACTATCCCAGTTCAATTAGCACAGAAAGGCGAAGAGCCAAGGTTTTCCTCACCAAGGTCTTCAGGGGCAATTCTCAGGTTTCCTCTTTCCAGCATAGCCAGATGTATTCTCCACACAGGGCCCAGAGTTGTAATTTTTATCTCATAGTTGAATACTGGTCTGCGTCTCTACTTCTTCTCCAAACATACTTTATCTTTCCTTTGTGTGATGCTCTGCATGTTATTTGCAGAATCTCAACAGGTTTGGATGTCTCCACACACTAGGAGAACTGAGTGGAACTACATGAATAATGGATATTTTGGTTCACTGGATGAACCAAATGATTGGGGAAAAATGTGGTTTAGGTAGACTGGAATTAAAAACATGTTTTGCTTAATGTTCAGGTGATTTAACCCATTTTTTTTCACCTTTCTACTTTAAATTAAAAAATGCAGTTACTCTCAGAAAAAAAAATAATAAAGGTATATTTGAAAGAGAAAGGAACATTTAAAAAATGCCAAAGTATACCATGCAAATTTTGCTGATCCTTCCTCCTGTCTTTTTGGTCAACTTGTATCCTTCCTAACGATGCTCTTCCTGTTGCTGAAAGACTTAGTTCATTTAAAAATAAGGAATTGTTGCTTCTAAGCAGTGAGAGTTTTTTAGATGCTAGCAACAGCATACAGTCTGGATGTTTTCAGAAAAGATGTTATTTATAGGAATTTGTCCTGGGAGACCTAGCAGAAACTTGGGCTTATAGCTATCCTCACCAGGTACTAGAGCCTGCCAAGAAAAACTGTACTGTTACCATTGGCGAACTATTAACTTTCACAAAGATGGAAACTGTTCCTTCTCAGGACAGCACTAGCCATGCTCTAATTTTCAGCCTCACTTACTCCCTCCCTGCTTGGGACACTAAGTTGAAACGAAGTGATAGATTGGCCCAGTCCTCATCGAAAGCATGGTTTCCTCAGTATACAAATGCTGCCTTCCTCTCACAAATGCTGCAAATATTACTTGACTCTGGTATACAGACTTTAAACCAGACATAGTTTACTTGACTCTCATATATAGACATTAAAACTGAGCTGCCTCAATTTGAAAAGGATATCATGTTTAATCTAGTTTCTACACAGCCCCAGCCTGCAGCATGACCTGCCTTCCCAACACGGCACTGCTTCACATTTCTCCCGGGAGCATGCTGTTCAACTTGAAGTCTTTGTGGGAGCACTATGACAATCTTCATAGCTTTTCACTTCTTCTTGAATTGGAGGATCGTATTTGTTTTCACTATGTCTTATTTTAAATTCAGACTTCAGTGGAAATCACTGAAACTTTCACTGGCTTTGAATAAAGTGTTCCAGAGTCAGAGAAAAATCTCATCTTTTAAAAACTCCTTATCTCCACCTGCATGCATAGCTTAGATATGGCCTGGCACATTTGATAGGATCTCACATGTCGGTGTGGGATGTAATGATTAAATTAGGCGCCTGAATGTACTTGGAAAAGATCTGCAGCACAGATCCTCAAAGACTTCACTTTACATGGATTAAATGGGGAATTTAAGTCTTTACGCTAGAAATATTAGCTAACTACACATCTAACATACAGGTAGGTGCAAATTAGATGCCTAACTCAGATGAAGGTGATTTCACCTTCAGCGGTTTGACTGAATTGTGCTTAAGATGGTTCTCATTCAACCATGAATTTATTTTCTCTTGGAAGTTTCTATTTTGCTTACATAAAAATTGTAGAAACTGGATTCATACTCAGAATGGTCATTAGGTCCTGTTACATAACCATTTTTTAAATACAGATACAGACTTTCAGGGTGGTTTGAGCCTTGGTTTAAGTATATACCTTGCATGTTATTTAGTGAGAGCCAGGATAGCTGAGCACACCTGACACCTACTTCCAAGGGAGTTCAGGGAGACTTGTGGAGGTCTTTCTGTAGCCTAATGGCAATGATGTTAACTGTCTCTGTGGACATTTAATCCAGTCATTATGTTTCACCTTGTGACTAAAGATCAGCCCAGAGTGTACCATCACATACCTTGGGTAGTGCTCTAGCTAGTTCATGGTGTGTCTGGACAGACTGGACGGTTGCAATACATAAACACTTTTGACTGTGTTGTTGGAACAGATGCTTTGCATTTACTTCAAGTAATGGGCCAGACCTGACTACAGCCACCTGGTCTTGACTAGGTTAGAAAGTGAATTCTAACAGCACTACTCTTCCATTAAAAGTTATGTGTGTTTTGTTTTTTTTTTATTCTTTTTTTTTTTTCCTTTTTTTTCCTCCTATATATAATTTCTAGTAGCATTTCAGCTACTTTTGTATTCTACATGTTTCAGGATTAAAACAGTCACTAAATAAGCAGATAATGTGGTTTTCTAACTCTGCAGACTTTAAAGCATGAAGGTCAAGTTTTGTTATATCCTCTGATGGAGGGTCTTCTTCTCATGGGGCGTTATTTTGAGTTTCATAGTGGCTCAACTACAGCAGCTAAAACATTTATACTTTTCAAAAATTTTTAAGCCTTTCTACATTTTTATGTATGGAGAACTATAGGCCAGACTAACACACTGGGAAGCAACAGCTGGCAAAGATGCAAAGGGTAATTGAAACAGCTTCAAAAAAAAAGTTTAGAGAATCTGTAGAGTAGTCTCCCTGGGGGAGAAGCTGAACCACGATGTTGTTCGTGGGAAACTGCAAAGATGAGTTTTGAGACCACCCACAAAACAGGCATTTTTCAGCAACTTCATTGCAAATTTTGTAATGTGTGAGATGGGAACCACATATTTCTCATCTGAAATAGAAAATTGACTGATATGCTGATGATACTAAGTGACAATGCAAGTAATTCATAATATGTGTTTTTGGTTCTGCAGTTGCTGTCTACAAATAGATTGTATGATTTTCATTATTTGATGCCTCATCCTTTTGTTTCCCCCAGCAGAGGTGATGGTGACAAGAACAAGCAGCTGCCAATCAGACAGCAGTGGGTTCATGGAGGAGCTGCCAGAGCCCTTAGTTTTGCAAGTAAGGAATCGATCAATATTCTATATTAATCAGCAGGTCTGTGAAAACTCTGTAACCCTGGCACAAGTAACAAACAAACAAATAAATAATCATGGAGTCAGGAAAGCTTAATGAAAACAAATTCACCTTCCTAGAAAACCTCATAAGGCAAGAAGCATTCTCAGAGCTTTGTGCAATTCTCCCACCACTCTAATGCAAGATTTGCACAAGGTTAGAGAATAAATGAGACATGAATCTTTGATTCTTTGGTTTGCTGGGTATTTAGAGATGCATTTGAAGATGTCTTCTGGGCCCAGGGGTGCCCAGAACAAAGTAGTGGTTGCCAAATGAAAATGATAGTAAAACTGTAATATTCTTTTTTTTTTTTTTTTTTTTTTTTTCCTCTCCCTTTTTTTCTTCTTTTATTTTCTTCAGAATTCATCTTTGTCAGGAAAGATGAATATTATTTCTGATAACTACAATGAAGAAACAGCCCTGTCACATAGGACAAAGTTTCCTATGTTAAATCAAGATTTCCAACAAAATCCAGATGATTGTGTTACTGAGGTCTTCATCACAGCTTATGAGAGCATCTTGACAGTATCTAAGCCAACAAAAGCATGCAGTGACCAGGGAGAAGAGATTAGTCTCCTGCTGACTGCAGAAAATGGTGATTATCAAGCCCGTAATGGTGAGCTACAGAGTCTTGTCCAAGAAAGATTACACAATATGGACAAGAAAGAGCATAAAACTGGAAGAAAGCAACTGGAAAAAGAGGAGCGCATGAAACAGTACAATCCTTTTTTTAAGAGTGATACTCAGGATGAAGGAGATCCTATCTCCTCAAAATCTGATCATCAGTTTTGTTTCAGTACAGGACATAAAAATGCAAATATAGCCTTCACTGAACTGAGTGATACAAACCATGCAGTCATCAGTGAGGGCAAACACAGAGGCAACGATGAAGGTGAGAGGTGCCTGACTGAAAAGCACATTGGATTTGCATATCAAGAAAATGCCCATGGAAGCAGTATAGAACATGTTAAAGGACAGTGGTGGGGCCAGGAAGTGGTTGGCAAAGATGGTACCCTGCTTGCAGTGAATGAGGAGACAAATAGACAGATGCTCTGCAACTTGGATAGTAATGCAAAAAATACAAGATACTTCTCTGAAAGGGGGCTCCCAGAAACTCTGTGTCAGGGCATGGCAGTGCAGAGTGGGAGTAGTGCCACTTCAACCAGCACTTCACAAGTATCTTGCAGTCCTCTGTGCTGCCTAGCAGAAGGGCCTGGATTAAGCTCCCCTGAAGATCAACAGACTGGTAGCATAAGGGAGATGCTAGGTGCTGACAAACCTGAACAGGCAGGCACTGTCCAAAACTGCGAAATGACTCGTATTCCTCTGAAATCTGTTACTGTTCAGATGCCTTCAGGGCTGGAGTTTACTTCAAGGGTGAAGTGCAAAGGGCAAAATGCTCCTTGCATTGAAAGCCTTGCTAAGGATGACCCTGTGGACATGTTCAGCGTGTTAGCACTCCCTGATGGTCGTCGTCTTGTGTGGTCAGACCCAGGGGCTTCAAAGGATGGTGTGAAGCAGACCACTGAGTCCTCCAGCCAAACTGACACCCTCGCCAGGAAAACCAGGCTGTCACCACTGCTTTGTCCACCCCATAGCCACCTGACAAAATCAGCCTCTCTAGACAGCATGCTCTTTGGCAAATACAGGTCGCACCACTGGGGTGAAACCTCTGGCATCACAGGTGCACAGGGCAATCACTGCTGTCGCTGCTGCCACAGCTGCTGCTCAAGGACATATCCTGTGGCTGTTTCTCCCCATCGCCTTGTAGGCTGCTGCTCAAACCATGCCACCACCAAGCTGCAGCTCTTGAAGACACTGACACTCCTGCAGAAAACTGCGATGCGAAATCTTCCTCAAGTAAGTAGGTTCCTTCAAATAATAATATATAGATGGCTGACACACTTATTTGCTAAATGCGCAAGCTATCTTTATCTTTCCTCTCCTATTTTGCTTGTTTCTTTAGTGAGACATATCTTGGGAATAAAACTGAGAAAATGGGGAGGGAAAGAAGCACTCCGTTCTGGACAGAAGTGGCAAACATGTCTGTGTACCTTCAGTTTTGTTGGGCCACTTACTTTCATAATGTATGTTCATCAACTCAGTCTTAAAATATTTACTGTGAACTAGGTTATTAAATTTTCAGATTAAGTGCAGAGAAGAAATAAGATTTGATTTAGAGAATGAGTTTCAATTAGTTTCTGTGAATCAGATGATTTACAGTAACTGAGTATTGTACTGGGTAGAAGAAGCAAGGTTATATAATTTAGTGCAATCCTCTTTTACTGAGAACTAACTTAATTTATATTATAGTGTTTGTTAAATACTGAATGTGCATATGTAGATACATACCATAAGCCAAACTGATTTAAATCAAAGGGAAGAGCAACTTCTCAGAGCCTCAAGTCATTTTATCATGGTAGAGTAAGCAGTTTTCATTAAATCTAAGGCTGTGTTAAGATGACCATTTGCAATAAAAAGATCAATAGTAAAAAGTCACCACATTATTATTTTTTTGGTCAGAATTGTTGAGAGGTCCCAAAAGTTGTGAAAGACTTAGGGTGTGTTGGGTAAGAAAGAAAGGAATGGAACTGAAAAGGGCTTTTATGTCCTGGGAAAAATGTAGTGCAGTATACATCCAGCTTCTTTGCAGGACTTCCTGTTTTTCCTCTTTTGATGCCACATCGTTGAATATATAAATCTGCAATGTCTTGTCTTTTAACATTATATGGAAAAACATGCATTTGTTAGCTATCATGCTGTTGCCACAAGATGGCAGTGAATCAGTAACTTATGGTGGACTAGAAGCTTGTTCTCACTGATTACTACTTAATCACTCTTCTAATAGGGGCTAGTGGTGATTTTTCTTCTGCAGTCTGTGGACAGGGAGTGTGGGTGGAAAAGGCTTTGCACCATACTGTTATCCAAGATCTGTCCTTAGGGATATGGCTTAACATCACCATCACTGTGCAATAAGAGAGTGAATATACTGAATATTAGCCACTCTAGATATTTCATGGGTACATATTTTTGCTTTACACTAAAGGTAAGGTAGTTTCTATGTATTTTACTGTAAGAAGCTCTCTCAGGTTCTACCCCATTTATCAAGGGCATGTACAGGGAATGCAACCACTGTGGAGCAACTGGTAGATAGTAATTGTACCCTACTTGTACTCACTTTACTTGAAACAATGGCCTGCCTTGGAGTGTTTCTGGGAAAATTAGTCCCCCCCCTCCATCCCTGTTGAGATTGAACTATGAATAAATCTATGTGAACATGTGCTCTGTGATATGCCTGAAGAGTCAGTGCCAGGGGAGCTGCCCTTACCTCATCCATAACATTTTCACAAACTTCGTTATACTTTTTGGATCTTTTGCATGGTGTTTTCCAGATTTCTGTTAGTCTTGAGGAATCATTTATATATAGTCCGTTGACTTCATAGTGACGTGCATGACAGGAGCTCTTCAGTCTCATTTGGGCACACCTTTCTGATGGCTAGATATCCTGATCGCTAGATTTGGTGGTGAGATGAAGTCCTCTTTATTATATGGGTACTGCTGACTTACATCCTAGCGCTCTCATCTAGGAACAGCCAAACTTCCTGAGGATCAAGATTAAAGACTGTGGAGGGGAGCTTAGGGGGGGATGAGCAATCAGCCAACACTTGATCCGAAGGTCCTTGTAACAGTTGACTGCCTCAGTGGGGTGCATGATTGTTGTCCTAACCTATAGCATTAAGAGAACCAACTGTGCTCCGCATGGAGTAGACTCTTAGGAGAGCTCTGCTCCACTACAGTCATAGGACCAGCTCTGTCAAACCACTACCAATCTCTAATTAGCCCTTTCTGATGCTATCCTATGCCACTTGAAGTTAGATAGTTCATTTGCTGTTATGGGAAAGTTTATCCCTGGGTTCATACACATCAAGAGCGTGCCTGTTGAAATGGAGATTGGGGATGAGGTTTATCAAATGCATGGGGAACATCTTTTGCTCTCGAGCTGAAGCTGTTCCTTCAGCAGGGCTGACTTCCTCATGTTTCAGGCCTTGGTGGGCCTGAGGGACACATTCAAGCATACAAACATGAAGAGATCTTCAAAGGCTGTGATTGCAGGGATTCAAAGAGATCAAGCATTGCCACACTTTGTAGACATGACTCTTACTCTTGGTCAGTTATGGTAGTCAGCAGAGGAGTGCAGGTTCCTACACTATCTTCCCATGATTTACTAGAGACTAAAATATGCCAAAGCAAGAACATGCTGAACTCCTGCTTGCACTCTGAGCAATTTAAGATGTAATAGGGACATGCCTTCAGAAGGCAGGTGGTACTGTCTCCAAAATCACATTGATGATGCTGTCTGCATTACTTCCTTTAATGAAGTGTTAAAAGTCAAGGAAAAGTATGTAAGATGTCTAGAAACAGACATCTATGGACTCTAGCAGCAGGATTTATTTTGATGTTACTAGCAGGTTGCACTTATATTATTCCTGTGCTCCAAAGTAGTAATGGGAAAATCTTAATGATTTTTTCTATACTATCGCTACTCATTCATCTGATCTTCTTTGAGACATTCCTGGTGTAGATGTTTACATCAGAGTAGATGTAAGTGATTAGTCATACTAGATTCCTTCTCTCAGTCAAAAAAAAAAAAAAATGGTGACGTTTAATGATTCTGTGATTTATGGCATAGATCCTCTGACATGTTATGGGTGTCTAATTTTTAAACAGAACAATTGCTCTGTCACTGTACTTGGATGTTTATCTGTTATGGTAAATGTCTGCACTTCATTAGATAAATCCAATTCAAGCTGTCTAAGAGGTAATAGATGAGAAATTATCAGAAACTTAGCAGAACCTGTCATGAAAGACATTTGTACCTCTCGTAGTACTTATATTTCTTCACTCTCATGCTTACTCTCCTTCTCCCTCTTCCTAGTTCTCTTTTTCAAAACAGTTTCTAACTTTCAGTGGACAGTAATTTCACATTAATTCATAGTAACTCATCCTGCTGGAAGATAGTATCTGATGACAGCATAATATCAGGATTTATCACATTTTGCCAGATTTTTGATCAAAGTCCATTTCCCACTTCCGTGGCAAAAATGAAATTCCCATTGACTTGACTAGTGCCACATCATCCTACATCATTTAGGAAACAAGGTGGTGACTGGGATGCGAGTGATGCACCCAGCACAAACACACTTGAAGTGCCATCTGGACTCTCATGGCAGCAGCTCACAGAGCCCCTGTTGTGCAGGTAAGAGGTGGGCCCATGTCCTTTGCACTGTCAGCTTCAAATGCATTTGCCATGGAGGCAGTCAAAGAAAAGTAGTAAAGTGGGGTGTCTTCTTGCTTTTCTATGCAGTGTACCCTCCAGGAAATAGATCTGATGAAGATCTCCTGCCAGCACTTCCGTGAGAAGCTGGATGAGATTGAGCAACACCTGACCGAACAGCAGGCACTGCTTTCTGATGTTATGCCTCATGAAGGAAGGTAAAGGCAGCCCCACACACTTACTTAAATCCAAAGCTAGCACCAGCAACAGCCCATGGGCACTTACAGTCTGTCTGGACACTTGTGTTACCATTACTGGTCAGTGAGTTACAGCCGTAGGCATCCTGCAAGTGGAAAAGTATTGTGATTTTTGCTTAGAAGAAAGTCCAGCTACTCTCCATACTGTTCAATCATGTATTATGAAGGGGAAAATTGCTCTATAAATGTAGACTAGATTTTTAGTGTGGAATTAATATATTTTAATAGTAATAGGAATCCAGGAACAGGTATCAGTTAGCTCTTCATGGATTCAGCCCACGTTCACAGTGATTATTGAGAAGCCTCATTTATACAAAAATTTCGTAGGGGCTTCTAGTCTTGAGCTGCATGAAAGTAGGACATTTATGCGGTCTTTGTGATAGTAATATATCAGAACTGATGAACCTGCCCAGACTCAAGCCCACTCTACAAATGCAACATGTTTAATTTTGCAAGTGGGATAACTGAAGACCTAGAGTAGAGTGGGCAATATTTTTTATTTTTTATATAATTTTTTGTAAGTTATTCCACGGTCATGGGTAGAAATCAGATGGCAACAGTGTGTGATACAGGCATTATGGTGGGGCTGAAGAAGAGGAGCGTGTTCATTGCCCATTCAAGTGTGCTTTCACTTCTGACCCTGCAGGGAGGAAAGCAGAAACCTGCAACTCCTACGGCAGGCCATTCGTCAGGAGGTGGCAGAGCTGGAATTTCAGCTGAATGATCGAACTTGCCAAGTCAGAGAGGGCATCCTGATGGTATGTTGCACAAGGCACCACTCTGGGTCTTGTGGGAAGTTTTCCTGACAAGTTTGGGTTAGAGGGTAAAGACTGTAATGGCCACTGATAGAAGTCCTTTTGCAGATTTTACATTAGATATATCTGTTGGAATAAAATGTCCTCTAGGCCTTTCTCCTCCTTTTTATGGCAATGTCTCATTTGCCAAACATAGCATATCTTCTTCAGACCAAGCATAAGAAGCAGGCATGCTTCATATACTCTTGTGTATCCTGCTTGATTCCTTTTATTATATTTTTATTACTGCAATATGCTTTTCCTTCTATTTTCTCTGCAGCAGCTGGACCAATTACTGGTAGAACAATCCCATCTGTTTTCTGAGCTTGGACTCTCTGATTGGAAGGGAGAAAGAAATGCCCAGAATAAACAAGCACTTCCAGATGCTGCTGACACTGTGCATCCTAAAAGTGGGTGCTCAAAAATGGTACTTCAAGGAGCTCCTAGCAAAAACATCACAGCAGCAGGCTCTCTATCTGCCCTGCAGCCAGGGGCACCCTTGACACCACTTTCTACCAAGACAGTGCCTGAGCTGAATTCAGATGAGTCTGACCCACAGGAACCCTCCACCAGCAAAAAGGAAATAAAAGGACCTCCCCAAGCAAAAATGGACTTTAAGACCTTTATACGCAATGTAAGAAGCTGTTTTAGTCTCAGCCTCAAAGTTTTAAGTGGAAGGGATTGCTGACTCACAATGCAGTTGAGCTATGCAGTGCCTCGTTGCCGCAGCCTAGATCAGGACACTTTCCTGCTAAACAGTGTGTTCATCCCAAGGGACAGAGACTGTGCTTCAGGGCACTGTCAGCCTGCACAGACAGCACAGGAACAGGCTGGGACTGGACCTGCCTTGCTATTTCCCTCTAAGCTGTGGCAATGACCCAGATGCTCCAGAGAGAAGCATATATAAATACGTACATGATTTCTGCTAGGCTTGCTTGAACTCTGGATGCAACTGTTCAACTAATTGGTATATTCAAACCTCTCCCATAGTGTGAGATTAGTAATTTATGGCTTCAATTTGCAAAGCCAATTACCTGGTTTTACAAGGGCAGTAAAGGCAGTGAAACAGAAGGTTTGTTGTTTTTCCAAAGAAATTTAAAGTTAGCATTTCTGACAGATCTGATCTCACAATGTAATCATAAAAAAAAAAAGTTTGTTTGCCTTTCTGTTTATTAAATATTTCTAGCTAATTTCTTATCTGCCTTACACTTTGATCTGTTTTATCTCAACATGTGTCCCAATTTTTAAAGGAATGATCAAATGATCATTTTTTTAAGTGAACAGTTAGGGTCAAATTTTGCATAACATTCATATAAACACAGTTGGAAAGAATACTCTGTACTGTAATCTTACACTGTTTTCCTGATTTATGCTGATATTGCTATTGGTATTACCAAGCAGAATCAGATTCCTTTGCACACAAATCAAAGAATGAGAACCATAGACAGTAAGGAGCAAAAAACTGAAATTTATTTGATATCATGTTTTGTCATTCTTTTGTACCCATTTCCTTTTCTTGGTCATTTTCTCAACATAACACTTTTTCCTTTTGTTTATTTGTTTTTCAGTTGAAGAAATCTTTCAGAAGTCCTTTAGGTAATGATTCAGCAGAAGGGAAAGACTGATGGAGGACAGACTGATGGATTTTGTTATTAATAATTGTGGCCTTTCTCCTTCAATACATGGTATATCTCAGAAGCAAATGAGCAAAACGCTGCTTTATGCAAAGCAGTTTCATTTGCAATCAGGTGACTGGCCAGAAAAGCAGACATCTTCAAAGGATATTTCAAAAAGAGACACTGCATTTTGCTATTTTGTGAGTGCAAAACTTACTGTATTACTCTTGGCATGACACAGGGCTGTTCTTTGTAAAGTCATTTACAAAGAAGAGGAGAGGGCTTGTTTTAAGAAGAAACTTACAAACTTGTGGACAGCCTAGGAGGTACCTCTAGAAGCTATTCTCCTTAAACCCAGTTATTTTAACATAGTCCTTCAACCAATATTAACCCTCAGGTCCAAACTACCTTGTATAGCCAGCCCCTAGCCATCTTCTAGCTTTTAATTAGCTAGTAAAACCTAATTTGCCTCTGACTAATTTTATGAGGCTTGTATCTGTTGTCCGTATCAAATCAGGATCTCACTGACGATGTATAAAATGTTATATACCCACACTGTCAAACCATTACTGTGGATAGTCTCCTAGCTGTCCTCTTCATTTTCATGTTTGCTTCACACAAATCTAACTGAAGAAAAAAAAAAAAGTAAAAAATAAAAATCACGGGATTATAAACCTTCAGTCAGAATCCTGGTTCAGTTTTCTGGGGAGTGCTCAGAACTTGGATTCATGCAGAAGAAAAAGAAACCCCCAAACCAACAAACAAAACAACAAACAAACAAAAAAACAGTAGAAAAGACCTCTCTGGTTTGGAGTTTAGCAGAGAAATCCAACTAGCTCATTTTCAAAGCAGTTTGTTCTACTGCTTTCAAATTAGCCCTTCCCGGGCTGTGAGACGTCCTACTGGCTTGTTTGTTTAATGCTCTGGAGGGATCTTAGGTGTCATTTAGACTTTGGTGTTGCAAATCACAGTTCTGCAAAGGTGCAAATAGAAGTAGCATTTGTACATGTTTAAGGAGAAAATGGAGTCAAACATGCTGAGCAGCCTGGAGGCTCCCTGCACCTCGATGTTTCCACAGATGTTCAAGGCAATAAAATGATTGGGGGAGAGGTACATAACACAGGAACCGACAAGATCTCCCACAGCCTGCTGGGCCATGAATTTTGCTAGTTGAAATTTGCCCCTTTCTTGAGACCCCACATGGGATTTGTACACCACTTCCACACTATCAAGTGTTTAAGAGTTTATATATCAAGATTTGTGACTTTGAAGCTGCTGGGATTAATCTTGACAGCAAGCGGCATGCAAACAGGACCAAAATAACCTTCATCTCTAGTACCTTATGAACTGCAATTGCAGATGCTGTACTTTGTGGAGTAAGGCAAATAAAGAGCAAGGTGAAGGATATACAATGATGCCAGTGCCAAAGGACTTCTGGAAGGAGCTAAGAATTTTCTTTTCCTTATCCACACCATAAAACAAGCTACTTTTTGAATGTGCCACTGCAGCATGTTAAGTAAAAGCTTTAAGTAGGTATGTGATGCTACAGACACTGTATGCCTGTCTTATATCCTTGTGCGCAGGTGGCAGCTATTCTTGATCACGAAGATCACATGGGACCTCTGGTGCCATTCAACTTCTACCATCTGCATTCACAGTCAGGACTGAATTTGACTCCTCATAACAAAACTTTCCTGTTTGAACAGTCTGTAGGTGATTTGTGTGTGCAGTCCAGTTCTTCACTTCACTTTAATTATAATCTCATGCAAGTTGTGGAGGGGATTGGGTTCACCATATGCAACACTTAGACATCCATAAATACAATGGTTAAGCTATAACCTCATAGCAATAAAAAACATGCGAAGCAAGGGGAAGGGGTAAAATCTTCTGATTTATGGTGGAGTACAATTTCATAAGTCCTGCAACCATATTACAAGAATGTCTGGATTGAGTCTCAGTGCTGCTGTCGAAGATGCAAGACCAAAAAAAATAATGCAGTCATTTTGTGACTGGGAAAGCCTGGAGTGGTACTGGTGACTGTAGCAACCCAGCTGTGTACCTTCTTTTCCTTCCACACATGGTGTTACCAGTCTTTTAAATGCTATCTTTTATTTCCCTTCAGGGCAGGGGAAATATTTACTCATAAGTAAATATGATGGGATTCTTAATGATAACTTCACAGAATTAGTGGAATAATGTTTCTGATCGAGAAACATAATTGCTCTAGCTAGCTAAAACCATAGCTTGCAGGCTTACAAGGCATCAGGTCATACCTCAAGGGGGACTACATTCCTTGTGAAAAGCATTAGTGCTAACCAGTTCACAAGTCTGAAATCTAAAGAAAACCGACCTTGTCACACTTCAATGTTTCTGGGGAAAAAAAGTAAAAGCAAATAGGTGGAAAAATGGCAGTCATGGCAGTATTTGAACTAAAGACTGTTGTCCTCCTTATTCCAGCACTCAGAACTGACATGGGCTGAACCAATGGCTCTGTTTCATGAGACTGTCAAGGCCCCACAGATGTTCATGCAATATTGTTCAGATCTGCTATGGAAAAGTTATGCATAGGGACACTGCTCTTTTATAGTGGTACTGATTCTCCCTGCTCCAGCCCTCTTTCAGCATCTCTCACCTTCAAGAATCCTAAAACTGCAACCTCAAATTCTTGTAACTCCATGTTAAGGGCTCAGTACCTGTGCCCTGGTAACAATTTCTGGAGTACGAGGTCCACATGCTGTCTCACCAAAGCATGTGAGAGGAAACAAATTAGGAAGGCCAAGGGAGATCAGTAGAAAATAAAATTATAATAATAAAAAGGAAAAGAAAAAAAAAAAAAAAAAAAAAGATGCCCTAAAACAAAGCTAGAAAAATAAAAAAACTAATGATTTCTTTTGCTCACTGTAGTTCAGCACCATTTGTGTCACTTGGATTTTATTTTTTTGTCATTGTCTTTTGCCTTCATTGGTTTTCCCTGATGCCCCATAAATCTTTAAACCCTGAAGCTAAAAGAGGCTGCATTGTGCACCAGCTTTAATATTGATTTTGCTAGAGAGTATAAAATCTAGAGGGATAATAAGGAAATCCATCTAAGGTACCCTGCCACGGGCTCCCATTAGTCGCTTTACCAGGCATCAATTCAATAAACCCTCGAGAGCAGCACATGAATAAACATCAGAGCCTCCCTGGCATATTAATGCATCAGTTGCCTAATTGTCAATGCTGCCAACAGACTCCAAGAAAAGAAGTATCTTGGGAACTCAGTCCCTTTCAACTTCAAGTCCGACGTAGGTTTGACACCAGCTTAGGAGAAGGCTGGGCTCAGGAGAGGGGTATGACAGCCAAATAGCAGGGGACGGCTGCTTTTGGTGTGGTGCTGACCTTCTGCTGGATGCAAAGCTCAGCTTACATCTGCTGTCTCCATGCTGCACGTTGATGAGGTGCCCCAGGTCAGGCCCATGACTTTCTCCATGGAGGACTGGAGTTAGTATTTGAAAAAAAATTCTCAAATCTTGACCTCAAGCAAGAGGAGTAAACTTGTTCTGAGATGCTTGATATGAAAGCCTTTCTCCTCCAGGGCTACCAGCCAGCCCAGGTGGCAGGAACCCTGAGTCCTATTCCTGGCTTTTCCGTGTGTTCCCTGTGTGACTCATGTCTTTATCCCATGGGGACCCTTCTTCCATATTGCCTTCTTTCTGTCTCATCTAATGAGGTTTTAAATTGCTCTCAGAGACGTTACTCTTTCATACTCTGTTCTTACAGAGCTGGGCACAGTCAGGACCCAATATCAGTCGGGACCTCTACTTGCTGCTAGGATGATAATTTTATGAGCAGGGTTTCATAAAGATCCATTGCTACTTAGGAAACAGCTGCAGTGTCACTTTATAAGGCTGTTGACTGTTTTAACTCCCCCTGCTCCAGAAACAAGGTTTTGATCTTCCTTGTAGAAATGAATATGGACAAAAGAGGATGAAGCATGAACAAAAAGGCAATTTTCTTATCAAATGGGAAAACTCAGAACCTGAGACTTCCAGGAATTAAAAGAACATGAAACAATGCTATTCTCACTTCGCTGGAGTAGTGTGTTTGAATTCATCTATCTTCATTTCATTCTTTTCCATTGTCTTTCCATAGGCACATCACTCACTCAATTAGCACAGTTCATAGCTAGTAAGAGGGACACAGGTGTGTCCCATTGAGGCAATTCAGCCTTAATATGGAAAACATTTATTACCATGACAAATAATGCAGAACACTGGCAGCATTTTCCTGAAATTATATTTTTCCCATTAAAATAAATGCCAGTTAGGACATTGGTGCTTATTGTTAATGACAGTCACAGAAGTAGTGAGGAGGTAAGAAGTACAAGAGACTGGAAATCAGGAGCTAATGAGTTGTTTGTTTGTTTGTTTTTTTCCCACCTTTTATCCTAAGAGAGCGTGAGGGCTCCCTGGGGCCTAACCTGAAGATACTGACACCCTTGCCTGTCACTGGCAAACTCTAACCATGTCGCCTGCAAAAGGCTTCCACAAATACACACAGAGGTGAAATGTTCCCCCTCTTCTGTGCTCTCTGCCTGGCCAGCTGCCTCTAAGAATGGCTCCAGCAAGTATTTAGCAGAGGGATTTCAGAGGAAGCAAGCATCTGCCGAGGGTGGCAGGCTGCCTGGGGTCCCAAAACAGAGAAGGGTGAGGGTCCTCTCTTCCAGAGGGATGGTGAAAAAAGGTGCAGTGCCCATTTCAAGATTCCCATACCTCATCCCATTTCAATTTCACCTAACAGTTTTTGGGGAGAAATCATTTTACATCAGCTCCCAGTCTATCAAAAGAAGACAGTAATATATACCTATGACAACATGTAGAGATTCCTTTCCAACAAGTGAAGTTATTGCAGCCCTATTGTGAAGCAAGGTTTGGGGGGAAAATGTCTGCACTTAAGTATCATCCTGCTGGTGATTCAGTTTTTAAAGGTCACCTAGACATTCCAGAAGATTTTCTAAGCTACTGACAGAAAGAAAATTTATGTGGAGAAAGGAATACTTACAATTGCTTAAGGAAAAATAAATAAATAAAAAAATAAAAATAAAAATCTAATTACTTGAAAACTAGGATTTATTGTATCAGTGATGCTTTTGCAATGTCCTGCACAGGGGCTCTGATGTTCTTAATTTTTGATCTACAAGGAGTAGCAATAACAAGGAAATATTACTCGTGGCACCAGGAGAGCTGTTCCAGATCTAGCACTGCTCTAATCAGAGCAGAACACACTGGAAGCAGGGTAGCTCTGACTCCTCTCATGCTTGTCCCATTTAACAAATAGAGAAGTGGAAGCAAGGGCACTTGAGTCATCCCAAACCAGGCCAGGCACATGCAAGAGATGCCTTTCTTGGGTCTGGTTTTCCTGCCAGGCTAACTCATGGAGGAGTCTGTGTTTGTGTAGCTTGGGGTAGAGGGGAGCTGGAGTGAGATGTCCAGGGAAACTTGGAGCAGCTGTTGCCAAAGAAATCTGAATCTGGGAGATGAAGTAACAGCCTTGTGTCAGCTGGGTGTATCCAGCTGTTTTCTAGCAAGCCCATCTTCAGAAACAGGCACCACAGAGCAGTTGGTACCAGTTGCATGCAGCAGCTCTGCTGACTGACACCCAGGCAAGAAGTGAGTGAGGAGGCTTGTGAGCAGCACAGTGGAAATTTGGCTGCGGATGGGGAAGAAGAATCTGAAAACAAGGTGTAGGCACAGATAGACATGGAGAAAGAGTGATAGTCAACTATTCTTTGTAGGTATAAAGAAAATGAGAGACAAGGAGCTACAAAAAGCAGGGATGAAGCAGGCTAAAGTGAGTAGTTCATTTATTTAAAGGTAGCCCAAAATGGTTGGGTCCAGTACAAAGAGGTCCTTCGGTTAAATAATTGAGCTGACAGTCCTCATTCAGAAGCCTAGGGAAAGAAATTTACTTGTTATTCTTCCCAAGGTCACTTATGAACACTTCAGGACCTCAGACGAGTAAGTGATTTAGGGACAAGGGGCAGGTAAAGACACAGCACAAACAAATAGTAAGTTTAAGGCTCTCCAAGCCCTTGATACAGCACCCAGTGGTTAAGGACAACAGAACCAAATCATCTGCAGCAAGACTCTAGCTTTGGTAGAGAAACTCTTAAATATTTTTGTGGGGAGAACCTAGATAGTTTTTGTTTGCTTGTTTTACTCTCCTCTCATGGCACCAGCAGCCACAAAGGTTAGATAATAGACATTAGCTTGTATTTTTCTGCCTATCTCTGCTAGCAGCTGTTAGTGTTACAGAATCACAGGAGCACATGTTGAAAAGGACCCCATGAGATCATCTAATCCAACATCCCACTCAGAGAGGGCCTATCCTGCCTCCTTCTCCATCAATGTGTTTAATCCTTTTGTACCTTCCCACCATGACCTTCCACTGCTTCCTGTGAAAATGAATTTCAGAAATTCACTACTTATGCAAACTTTTCTACCTGTTTGAAAGTGATCTGTTTCAACAGATCTGTCAATTAAACTGTATCTGCTACTTTTGATGAATGTCCCCTAATGTTAGAACTACAGGACTTGGTGCATAAGATGTATGCATTCATCTTTTTCCACCATTTTCCTGATTCTGTAGACTCTAAGGAGCCTAACATCTCTGAGCTGACAAGTTCCTTTTAGTCTTTTCTCCCCAGGCAATTCCTCCATCCCCTTAATCATCTCCACCCAAGTCTAGCTGGATTCCAGAAAAAAGGTTTCCAGACTTTCAGCAGTGTTTCTCTCCAAAGCTATTTGAAACCCCATAGAGTATCTCCTCGGGTCCAATTTACAAAGTCAGCTTTATTACATCTATTCATTCAGCTGCCACGCTCCAATCTCACAGGAAAGAGCTGAGTCTGAAGTTGTTACCCTCTTCTATCAGAAATATCGTGGAAAGAGAGCTACATGTGCTTATGAATTTTGAGCAGAACCACCACAGTCACCTCAAGCTCCTTTCTCTCTTCTGAACCTGTTCTCAGGGTGCAACCCTTACCAAATCCAAGTTTT